GAGGAAAATTTCCAGTATTCCCCTATGTAAAAAGTTAAAAGGCCCTGTCTTTTTTTTCTGCACAGAAGAAATTGCTGCAGAGCATTGCTTGTGAGCAGACATGCCTGAGACACCGTTATTCCTGACCAGAATCTGTCCTGACAATTAACACTCAGCTTGGCAGATACTGCCAGGGACAGAGCTAATGCACTGTGTCATGATTATTGTACTCCTCCGAGCATAAATTGAATGGGGAATGGTTAGTAATTAGCTCCAGCAAAATAGACTCTACACTTGTCTTCTTTTGTCATTAACGTCCAGGCTGATAACAAAAGAAGCTCTGGTAATTAGAACAAACCCATGCAAGGGGTCTGACTGTGCTTCAGGAAGTCTTTCACACATGCCTTTTTGTTCTAATGAAAATTTGACTTGAGAAAACAATGGGCAGTGGTAAGATAATTGTACATTAATAAGCAATAATGACTGCAGAAAGAAATTCAATTTAAGGATCTTTTCTCTTATTGGCTGGGAATAATTAATAAAACAATTATATACGTGTCTCTGGATATAGATATGCAATGAAATACATGTATGCATGCAGCTCTCCCCCCTAACTCTCATGGGTAGAGCTAAACAGCGAGCTGCTTCTGAGTTTTGCTGACATTCCAGGCTTCCAGAGATAAGATGTGCAGAACCTGCATTTTGTGCAGTGTTTCAGAGGAAAAGATACCCTTTGAATGTTGGAGATTTTTAACTTAATTTGATTTAAAGAGTGTAGAAAACACCTAAGGAGATCAGTACACATGAATATTTGAATTTTTTAGTATATTTTTGTGTGAATATATGTATGTGTTTATGTTATGCTGCCTCAATAGGTAGATATTAAGGTTGTGTTCATTGACTCATCATTTCAGGAGCTGCACATTACATCTTTCAAACCCTGAAAATTGCGTAGTTTAGCTTTTAAAGCATAACAATCATAATGGTGAGATCCAATTTCCCACAAGGATTAGAGAGCTGTTGGAGGGGTGTAGGTGGCTTTCTGCAGGTGTGGATATCTGAGGTGTAGACCTCAGACTTGCTACTGATGCTGGGCAGAGTTCTGCTCTTTAGTTTAGCCTAGTGTATTCTGGGGCTTGATGTACGCAGTGTGAAATAATATTTAAGTGTTAACAAAGGTAATGATGTGGTGAGAGTGAAGGGTTTCAGGACCCCAGCATGCTCCAGGAGGTCTGGAAGCTCAATAGCAAGTTAAATCACCCTTGTTGCTCCTTTATGCTAAGGAGAAGCAAAGAGGTACATGGCAAAAATTTCAGCTACATTTTTGTTCCTCTGTCTCTTCTCACTAGCAATTAAAACTTGGGGTAGAGCACATCTGCATGTGGAGCTGTACAGATGAAGCCTGTTTTCATACCTTCACAAGTTGTGAGTTAAGCCCTCATAATCCAAAGGCAGAGGTGATATCCCACAGCACAGGACGGCTAACTCCACTAACCCTGGAAGGGACAAAGGCTGTTGGCAGGGCCACTCAGTAACTTTCTCAATAGTTATTTGTTTGTTGTTTGTTTAATTTTTTTTAATTAATGAGCTAATTTAATTTTAGAAAGGTGAGATATTCTTATGTTAACGTTTGATGCATTAAAAATAAGGATAATACTGATGGTTTGCAGCTATAGAACTTTCCTTCAGTTTACAACCATCTTTATGAAGAAACACCCCTGCTGTTTCCTGTGTTCTCCAGTGGATCTCTGTACCTGATCCTACCTGAGGAGATATAGTCTCTGCTTTCCCAAGCATATCTCAGTGTCCAGAAGAGTGAAGCATGTTCTTGGGGCTTGCTCCTAAATTGGTCAGGATTGGTGCTTACTCCTCTTTGATCAAAATCCTGCCTGGCACCGAGAGCTCATAGTACGTAGTGCCGAGGCCTCTCAGTACCATGTTAGGTGCTGCACAGTCTCATCAAGGACTTTCTGCTTTCTGGATCTTGGTCTTTATTGGGATTTGTTTTTACAATAAGATATAAAGATGCCAGCTAATGTAGATTCTCTCTTGGTTCTGTGTACAGTGAAACTCAAAGAGAAGGAAACTTCTTTTATGTGAAGAGTTGTGTTTTTTCCTGCCAGAAGTTGGGGAAATGGAGCTGAATTGTAGCTCCAGATGACAGAATTTTTGATGAAATTAATAACAGTTAAGTAGTTATGTGTTAGCTGATTTCTGTGTGATTCTGAATTGAGTCATGGCTGGGGGTTGACTTTACCCAACTGTCTCTATGCTTTAGCATGTGCTTTTGGGTTTAGAATATAGCTCACATTTCCTACCTTTTTATTCAGTAGCTAATAAGTTTTGGACTTCACCACAAATTAAATTGGAAAAAAAAGTGTATCAACGTTTAGAGCAACACAGAAAACTTCTATAAACTCCTTTGTATTTTTTGACCCCACCAATATTTGCAGAAAAATAAAGATACTGAAATTCTCATGAGACTTCTAGATTCCAGTTTGCTCAAACAGTGAAAAGCCTCTGGTTTTCAACTGTAACAACTCTGTTTTTTTTCAGGGAATAATTTAGTGGTTTTTAACTCATATAAGAAAAATCTAGGAAGATCCTTTTTGAAATAATCTGTCTGTGCTTCCTGGCACTGTAATGGAATTAAACATCACCCTCCTCATGCATTATAACCCCTGTATTCCAAACTAATGTGAAAGAACATGATGCAAATTTTAGGTGAAATATTTTTCTTTCTGTGCCTCAAGGCCATTCCAGCTTGCTTCTTCACTCTGGTGGCAGTGCAATACTCAAACACACCCAGTGTGCTTGTGCAGGGAATGCAATGCAGCAGTTACCTCTTTTCGCAGCTCTGCTATATTCCTCTTTTTTTTTTTTCTGTGTTTCTGAAAGTGCTATCTAAGCACATTTTCCCAGGGAGATCAATAGCTGCTTCATGTGTGTAAACTGATGAGTGTGGTTTACAAGAAAGATATGATAAACTCTGGAATTCTGATATGGACAAATTCATTAAGATAACAGTCTGTTTATTTAATCTTATTGATGTGTTGTAGTTATAGATCACCTATTATTATGGCAATTCATTTCTGTTTCTATTCAGGTGATTTTTATCATTAGTTTTGTCCCTACACAGATGGCTCTAAATCACTTCTCTCAAGATTTAGAGATATTTCAGATTTAAAAAACAAAATGCTTCTGTCAGCTACAATGATAAAGATGAAAATAAATAGCTGGAATCCATTGGCCAATAGTGTGAGGTCTTCAAGAAAAGCACTAGAATAAATCAGCAGGATGGAAAAGCCCTTGGGTGATCCTGTTGAAGACTAAATTATGGACTTTGCAGCTGCAGAGCTGACTGTTGGGATAATGGAGCTGTAATCTCCAGCCTGTTGGCTCATACTCCTCCAACCCAGGAGAGGTGACAAATCACTGGGATCAAGGGGCCCTCTTGGGGCTCCTGTGAGGTGTGCTTGGGATGGAAATCCCCTTTGTGGGGAAGACAGAACAGTTGAAGGTGTAATTAGCTCAGTGCAAAACTTGTCTCCATCTGGCAGAGATGCACTTTGGGTACAGAACTTCTGGCACAATTTTTAAGCTGTGTTAAGTTTGTTTAATCTTGCACTGTGGTGCAATTCACTCTCTTAGACTGAAAACCTTTTTTTTACTGCTTGTGAAACTTTATGAGAAAGTCAGGGTCTTAGATTATGTCTTTCTTGAGTTTAATATTCTGTTTATACAGTAAATGCAAAATATGAAGGATGGTTCCAATGCTTTTATTGTGCAGTTAAAACCTACATTAAAAAAATCTGTTTCTACTACATCACAGTGTGTAGCTCTTCAGCATAACTGTTTTTATAATTATAAAGTCACTTTCCAAAATTTTATATGTGTAAATAGCTGGCAGTACAGAGATACCTTCAGACCAAATAGGAAAATGTAATTGATATTGTATTAAAACAAGTAATTTGTTCAAGTAGCCTGGATTATATTTTCATTGCTTAGATGATATATATTTGTCTTTAAACATGCACCAATGTTCAAGCATTTGAATGGAAATGAATGAGAGCTGATGGAATTTCATGGCATGGCAGAAAATATTTCTATGTATAGCACTTTCACAGGTGTGTTACCTAAAAGCACAGACCACTTTTTTTTTTATTTTTTTTTTAAATTTTCTTAATTGTTTGTCCATTTTTAATTTTGGTAGCAGTCACTGGAAGCAGTAGTCCAATCCTGTTGTTTAGGTGTTAGTTTTTTGCTTTTCTGAAAGGTTTTGATTATAATCATTCATGAAATTACTTTAGCATCAGGCACTTGGATATAAGGATAGAAGTTGATATTCCAGATGGTGTCTCCTTAGAATTTTATTGTCTGGTTTATTGTTTTATTTAGTTATTCAGCCTTGCCTGGTCTTTCTTTTTTTTTTTCTTTTTTTTGTTCTGATAAGATGTGACAGATGCTGATTCATCTGAAGTGCTGATTCTGATTTAGTTATTGCCTGCATTCTCCCAGGGAAAGTTTAACTTTATGGGAATTATTTTGAATAAGATATTAAAGGAATGATAACACTGTATTGTCAGTGAAAGCCAAAATAGTACCTAGGTAAGCAAGGGTTCTTATTTTTAGTGATACATTCAAAACCTGTTGGCTGGTTATGTTGAACATTTAGGAAGTAAAAGTGATAACACAATAAAACGTAATTGTTCAGGTTTTTGCTGCCTTCCTGGGTAGTTTAGTAGGAGCAGTTTGAATCTGCACAGAACAGCCAGAATAGCTGATATCTTCAGCTATTTTCTGCTTTGCCAAAAGAAGTGATGAAATCATTCATGTTGTGCTGCACTTTTATAATGAACTCTGAGGTGTAGACAGACTTGCTGCTGGTGCTGGACAGAGTTCTGCTCTTCAGTTTAGAGACATCTAAAATTCAGTCCTAAACTGGGCTCTGTTCTTGGATTTAGCAGTAGCATTAATCTTGAATTAATGTGGTTTGTTGTTTTTTTTTTTTTTCTACTTAGGTAGGAATGCAAACCAGGAGCAGCTGGCACCCCTCGGTTCCCCAGGCATGCAAATCCATGTGCCCTTACAGGCTCACGAAGAATTCTGTCAGGTGAGAACTGAGTCTGACAAATATTGGAAAATTGGAAGGGTAACTGCAAGATATCAGGGCAAGTTATGAAAATGTAAAGGGGTACCCTGGGGCAGACCCTGTTCCCCAGAGAGCTTCACTGGGGCAGTGCACACATAAGCTTGGTCTGTGCTGCCCTGAAGGTGGGAGCAGATGTGGGCAGGGCAGACCCACCTGTCTCAGCAAAGGTACCCACGTCTGTCACTTTGACATCGTAGGTGTTTTTATTCTATTGAGTTTTTCAAGAAATGAGAAAGACTTGAAATTTACTGTGAATTAAGATGACAGCCCATGTTTTCTCTTTATTGCCCTCTCATGACTACTTCCCAGGGAGAGTAATTTAGGCATGGAGCAATGGGAGTTGTGATGGTGGAGTCTGAGGCTGGCAGAGAATATAATACACCTAACATAGGATATGTTGTGGTGTCTCACATGAATTGTTTGGGGAATGAGTTGAGTTGAAGATTAAATTTTGATTTGACAGCATTGTATTTAAACAAATAAACAGTGGCAAAAACTTTTGTATTCCTACACTGATTCATGATTCAAAACAGAGCCAGTATCCCAGAGGATATTACACTAACACTAGCAGAGAAAATAGGGCATCAAAACTGTTGGCTCCAGAGCAGCAGGAAGCTGATTGATTTCCCCTCATCCCTTCAGAAACCTGGATTAGAGTAGCTGTACAACAGACAAATCAACAAAAATAATGGCACTTCTGACAGTATTGCAACCTTTTATTAGCTCCACCTGCACCACTTGACATTCACAACTCCTGGTAGAAAATGTGGGATAGCATTCAGAGTCTGCAGTAGACTCTGGTGTTCCATGAAATTATGGAAGTACTTCTCCAAGCAATTTTTAATCTTACAGAGCTTTTCCCCTGAGGATGGGAGAGACAGAACTGAGATTTGAGTGATATTTCAGCCACCTGATGTCATAGGGATGAAATCTGAGTCTTCAAAAGAGCTCTAGGAACATGTGGTGGCAGAGGTGCTCCAGCCCTTGAATCATCTTTGTGGCCTCCTCTGGACTCTCTCCAACAGGTCCATGTCCTTCTTATGTTGGGGACCCCAGAGCTGGATGAAGCACCTGTAGGTGGGGTCTCACAAGAGCAGCATAGAGGGACAGAATCCCCTCCCTCCTGCTGCCCACACTGCTTGGGATGCAGCCCAGGACAGTGTTGGCTTTCTGGGCTGTGAGTGTACAAGGATGGGTTGTGTTGTGCTTCTCCTCCACCAGCACCCCCCAAGTCCTTCCCCTCATGGCTGCTCTCATTCCACTGGCTGAGAACAGTGAGCTGTCCATCCAAATCATTCAATATGTTGGATCTGAATGTTTAAATAAAACATCACAATTAAGCTAGAGAATATATTAAGTCTGTAAGGAGAAGCAGAGGGAAGTTATCCACATTTTCCTTTTGGTGTTATAGAGTGCTACAGCCGTTTCAATTTGCACTGAGCAAAAAATAACTCACTGTAGGGGTTTCACAAACTCTTCTCAGTTTCTATCACTATCATACTAAGAGAAGAAGAAAGAAATAAAAATAATAGTAAGTTTAATGTAAAAATAGAAGTGAGTAGTATTGAAATCGCTGGTTTAATATGCTTTTTACCCTCATATAAGTATGAGTAGATTTGGACTGATCTGATCCAATTTATAAATATAAATAGCAGCAAAATTTCAGGACTGATTCTTAAATGAACTTCTGTATTGAAACTTTATACCAACTTTTGTTTACTCTTCTATCAGTGCAATATCAGCTGACATTGAGTTAGTAATAACAAAAAAAGAAATTGACTGCTCTCCATTGATACAGAATTAAAATTGGAAGAAAGTAAACCCCTAAAATTATACTCAAGCGACAGCTCCAAACCTAAATATAAGAAAGCTTTTCTTAAGATAGAATAAAAATTTATTTCCTTCATACCTGCTAATCACAGAATTTTGTGTAACTTCAAGTGTCTGAATGACAGGCATTGTGCAGAAATTAAAATGAATACTAGGCTGAAGTCTGTTCAGTTTAGCAGGTGGGGGATTTGGAGGATGCTGTTACTTTGGAAAGTATGTGGTCCTTGGGAGATTTGTTCTTCAGCATAATTTTTCTATGGAACAAAAAGTCTAATTTAAATAACTCTATAGACACATAATTTTAGTTTGTAAACTACACTTTGAATTTCTGTAAAAGAATACCACCTAGCTTGCCATGACACCCTTTCATACTGAAAAGAGAATTGTTAATCTGGACTACTGCATTTCTGGTCTTTAGAGGGAAGCTTCAAGAACAGTAGTTTGATCAAAACACTCTCAGTTCTGTTTATGAATCTGGGAATATGCATCAGCTGAATTGTGTCTGTGCTTTTAATATTAATGGAAGCAACAATAAGAATCTGCATAGACACAGAGGGATCAGTGTATACAGATCTCTCAAAACATAAAATAGAGACACAAGGTAGGAGAAGGAATTCAGAGCCATCCTTCTCTTCTGCATTGTTTTTTATGCCAGTATCTTGATTTGCACTGCCAGGGAGATCAGGAACGGCACGCAGGAAAAAGCATGCTCAGTTTCTAGGGAGTAGTACACTTTCTGGTTTTAAATTAGTCAACTCTTTATGAAGAGCATATTTGATAAAGCCCAGTGAAATCTGACTAGAAATGTCATTGATGTTTTCCTCAATTTTTTGACCAGCATAACCTAAGTGAAACTTTCAATAGGATTTTATTCTTCTAAACTGTGAATTAAATGAAAGATGTGATCTCAGAAACCTGATTCACTAATTAAAAAATCTATCTTGTTCAGGTCAGCCATCAGCCGTGATTTTGTTGAATAATTGATGTCAGACTTTTAAATCCTTCCTTTTTTTTTTTTTTAAGTTTAGCAAGAAGCCAAAACAGTATTACTATGAAATGATCCGAGCTTCTATTAACAGGATCAACAGATTGCTGAGTGCTAATGCAGTAACAGCACCAGAACTAAAAGAGGATGTATCTATCAGTTGATTTTTTTGATTGCTGGCAGTACATGTGAAATGGACTATTCACTTATTGCTGGCAAGCTAACAACAGACTGGTGCCAAGATAATACAACTAAACTGACTGGATCAGCCAGACATTCATTTTTTTCTGAAGTTTGGAAAGCAAACCCCTGACCAGTATTGTTTATTAGAGCCACTTCCTCCAAATGCTGCTCTAGATTCTTCCCTTTCAGCTGCATGTTGCCAGAGCATTCTTGCTGTTGCAGTGGTCAGCTCGCTCTAACAGCTGTGGGGGCTGTTTTGCCTTTGGGGGGGTTTGAACCCAGCAGATCCAGCAATAGGTGATTTTACAGCATGGGACACGAAAAGACTTTTTTCCCCCTTTCCATATGATCCTGACTGGTGAGCGTGTTGCTCTCTAGAACCACCATTTCCGTCTCTCTACCCAGTCTGTGGTTAAAGCAATTAAAGCACTTTGTTGCCCTTGTACCACATTCAAATACTCTGCCTAGCCAATAAGGGCTTAGTCAATTAAATTGATTAGAGATTATAATGGAAGATATGTTGGCCCTTGTTACCAAATATATCTCATCTAAGTATGCAGACTGCCAGAAAAGGCATTTTTGCTGGTTCATTGAGTATGAGAAATTTGCAATAGAAAATGCATTGTTGTAGCACTTTTTCTTTCCACATGCAAGTCAAACATTTTTTCACAGATTCAGAGCATGCTTCAGATAACATCTGAAAAAACTGCTAATGTAAAACTTGTTTTTCTGCTGAATCCCTGGAAAAACTTTCTAGTCTGTGTTAGTATAAAGGGAGCTGTTACTGTTACATATGGATCCCTGATTTAAGTAAGGTGTATACCAAGGAGTAAATAAGGGTCTGATACATGGCAGACAGGGATGGTGAGGTTTGTGGTGAGGGAGCTGAAAGTACTAATTCTGCAGTTTGTTCATGAGAAACAGAGCAAATGATCTTTGGACTCTGAGCTGTACCACTAGTTTGATGACGGGACACTGGACTTGGTGATCAAGTGTGATTTGCCATATTATTTGTCCATGGAACTTTGTTCATCTCTCACAAAGCCTTTGTTGTGGAGTAGCTTCAATATAGTGAGCAAGTGGGTTCCACCTTAAAGCTCATGGTTCAAAGTTATTGCTGTATCCCAGGGAATTATTGCTTCCCTTCTCCACTTCCTCCTTCATTCCAGCAAGCACAGGGGTTCAAAGGGGAACAGCAGTGCTGTGAAGGGGATGAGAGAGGGTGAAAGGAGCACTAATATTTCATACCAGTCACAGGGCAAGACTTATTTGCTTCCCTCTGCCTAAGCCCCTCCAACAGTTTACTCATCCATCTGGAGTTTGGTCATATAAGAAGATTGGGCTGTATATCTTCCATGAAAGTTGTAATCTGCTTATGTCTTGTTGTCTGACTTCTAATTCAGTTTTCGTTTTCTTTGTGCTAAAAAAAGTTAATTGCTCTTTTACTACAAGTTCTCTCGATTAATAAGGCAGAAAAATCATAACATAATGTCTGGAGTATTGCATTTTCCTCCCAGAGGCAACAGCAGTGTCACAAGCACAGGGCTGTACCCTTGCAGTCTAAGTACCTAGGGAAAAGGGAAGCCAGCAAGCTGGGAATTTTTGCTTAAAAACAAATTGAATGAGTGAATAAAGAAAATCATTAAGGCTTCATCTATAAATACTCTCTAATTTAAATTCACATCGGCATGAAATTTTAAAGATTTATTTCCATAATTTGAAGTAAAAGGTATTTGTTTTAGGGGTGATTAATTCACACATTGCCTTATGGGTAAGGGAAAATTGCAGGATCAGGGTAGTATAAATTAAGGGTTGGAGTACATGTACTAAAAGTGTGAGAAAAGATTTTAGTCAAGGTTTTTTCCCAGTTCCTTTTTCTTATTAGCATAGGAGTTGTAGAATTTCCTGATTCATCAGCAGTAAACAGGTACTGGTTTTATCACCATAATAAATGAAATTATCA